TGGAATATGGAATGTATGTCCCAATCACATCGGTTGATTTTAACGCTGCCGACAGTGTGGTTTCATTATGCATCAGGGATGCGTTTTTGCTTTTAAACCCCCGAAACCCTCTACTCTTCATGGTCATCTGTCAAAACCACTAGTCGAGATAAAGTTCTCACTTGCACAGTACACTTGGTCCTTAAGGACATTCGAATATGACATCGTCGCCACAAGCAATTTACGTAGGTGACAGATTCAGGATTTCGCACCCTCATTCGTTGTAAAGTTGGAGTGCCTAACGTAATGTTCCCATTTGTTGGTCAGTAAGAAGAAAGATGATTACTTCGGAAAGAAATATTTTTCGTCAACCACTTTGACATCCGGCTGAGTAGTCGTATTCCCACTTGGCAAATCACCAGCTGATTGCACTACCAACTATTCGGTTGACGTACGTAGGACGGGGACATTTTTGTAGACAACAAACTATGTGCGACATCACTAGGGGTAGGAATTGATCTTCATGTATATAGAGCATGCACTAAATGCCGTCAAAAGGGGTGAAATGATGATTAGAAAACTATGGTAGCAATCATGGTGTAGATGCCAGTAAGACTACTGTTTGCAGTGAGGTGAGAATGACTCGGTAGAGGGATGTTGGGGCCAAGATAAAGGAAGGGGTTTTGTGTTAGATACTATCTACAGGTGCCTGACACAATCTTCTCTCTGCTCAAGTACACCTCAAGTCTTTGCGAGAAATTGCTGAGGAGAGTAGTAAATTTGGACCCGTAAGTCAAATGCACAGCCCAACTTCCCGCGCTTCACGGCAAGGAAGAAGCGTAAAGAAAATGATATTAAGATTGGACAATACGAATGGCAAGGAACGGGATAAGGAGGTGAGGGTTAGCAGTGTTCAAGACCTTAGAAACGTCAGAGTGCGCAAACCTGCTACACCTTCGCTGGTTTCCATTCAGGTCAAGGGTCATCAGCCATCAAATTCTATCGCCTCGAAGACACCAGCCGGCCAATCTACATCCAACAGTCAAACCATCAGTAAAAAATTACACGGGCTGATGCAACGTCTGGGTTTGACTGCTGTTAACCTTTTTTCAACCCAATTCAACTTCAGCTCATAGCACCCGCTACAGCTCAATGCGTCCACTTGTTCCTGTGTCAGTAGCAATGACACAACCACAGCCCGCATAATTATTCATCGAATGGATATTCCCTATACGCTGGGCTTTACGGTTCAAGTATTCAAGCAAATGAATGCCGTAAAACGTTTATTGATCTTATCTTTAGCTCGACCAGCTCCTCATTTAACGAATCGCACGGTGAAAACACCTGGTAAAAGGAAATGGGAGTTTTTGCTTCGAGCTTCTCTCGCTTTTGCTGTGTGAAATGTACCGAAAGCTATCCTCGTGACACTGAACTCGAATGACTTCTACTAATAACCAGTGTTTTAATGTTGCTATGCAACAAGCGCTTTATATTTGTTTTCTCATGTTTCGTTTACCGTTTACATCTTCTTGGTGTATTATCCCTTGACCGTGTCTTTTTACAATTTTCTTGTAGTCACTATTACTGGGTTTGGTAGAAAGGTCTATTAAAGATGACCAAACTGCCAGATCATACTTGGAGGGGGTCTGTAATCCTATAACACTTCGGAATGGCTTCATCAGTTATCGACTGGCATGATATAAGTGCTTATGAACTCTGTTAGAGGACACATCTACAGGCAGACATAATTCCCCTCACGGAGGCATGGCTGTCAGAAGACGTAGTGGATAAGGAAATATGTTTGCCTAACATGACCCTGTTCCGAAGGGACAGGCAGTTCAAAGGAGGTGGAGGAGTTGCCATATATACTAGCACTCATCTAAAAGTCAAGGGGGTGACTGATGGTGTGTTCAGCCTATTGTCAGGCTCCTTACGGTGCTGTTTCACCATAAACCAAACCAAGTACCTGTAGGAGTAGTATATAGGCCTCCCCTTTGTAGCACAGAGTATAAGGCACAATTGCTAAGTGCCATCGCAACAACCACCTCGGCAGCCTATGACCATGTAGTCCTCTATGGAGACTTCGACACACTGACACTCTACCCGGGGTGTGAAGTAAGATGTGGGCATAGATCTTTTTAACACAAACTTCGAAATACGTTCACGGCAGCAGGACTAATAGAGAAGGTTGGGGAAAACACCAGATGGGGACCAGACGGGGAAGGATCACCACTAGACTACGTTCTAACAGACGATGATCTTTTGGTGGACGATGTGTGTCCAACCCCCCTTAGGTAAAAGCGATCACGCATTGGTGAGATTCTCTCTGATAACCAAAGAGACACTACCAATAGTTGAGTCAGAAGCGTTCCGCTGTTACCTGAGAGCAGACTACCACCTCATGAACAACGAACTCCTGGAGGCTGCATGGCCACAAGAATGGCACCCACTATCGATAGACAAACACTGGATACAGATTAAAGATATTATCTGCAACGCTGTTGAAAAGAGTGTTCCAAAATTAACCAGACAACCACCTCTGAAATGCTCTCGGGTGACTTGCGCAACCCAAAGGCAAATACAGAGGAAAAAGAAGGCATGGTACCGGTGGCGTACATCACGCAAAGAATCGGATTTTCATAGCTACAAGGCGTTACGGAACTTGTGTAGTATAAGAATTTGTAATGACAGGTGTGCATACCGAAGTAACCTGGCTAAACAGCTAAGTTACAATCCGAAAAGTCTGTATCAGTTTATGTCGCAATGCAAGTCAAAGAATAAGGGCTTAAGCCTGGTCACCGGAGAGGCCGCAGAACCCTTGAACAGCTGCGAGATAGCGGAACTGTTCAGTAGTCGGTGTGACGAGCAACTCAACCCAGTAATACGTCCATTATCAACATCTGGCAATGTAACGGAGTCTCAGGACCGCGATACACAGCTGATGAACGTGAAGATTTCGTCAACCCAATTGTTTGCGAACCTTTCAACACTGAGAATAGGGAGACCCCCGGGCTGTGACGACATAAAACTGGTTGTCCTACGCAACTGTGCAGAAGTACTAAGCTTACCCATATGCAACCTGTTCACGTACTCGCCGGAAGTAAGCCAACTTCCCGAAGAATGGAAATGCGCCATCCTCTTACCAATCTGCAAGGGAGGAGACCGAAAGAACCCCTGTAACCGCAGACTAATAGCATTACTCCCCGTACTTTCCAAGGTACTGGGAAGCCTTGTTGCAGATGTTGTTTGGGACTACCTTAAAAGGAACAGCGTCGTCCGTCCCACCCAGCATGGCTTCAGAACCGGGTGGTCATGTGCCACAAACTTAATGACCGCTTGGGATGACTGGACTACTAGATGGGACAACAAACAACAAGTTCACGTTATCTTCTTGGACTTGACCAAAGTTTTTGATAGCGTCCCACACCTCACTATTCTCACCAAACTAGTAAAAGTGGGTATCAGTGAACCACTCTTAGCATGGCTTACAGTATATCTAGAGGGTAGAGAATTCTGCACCAAAGTAAAGAGAATCCGATCAACATGGAGGAAAGCAAGAACAGAAGTTTCCCAAGGAGCCACCCTTGGACCACCCCTATTTTTACCACTTATAAAAACCCCCCACTAAAATCTCATCTATCCTCCTATCCGCCGACGACAACAAAATGTGGAGGACGATAGGCGACGAAGAGGATTCCAGAAAGCTCGAAAATGACCTGCTGCAGCTGGAGTCCTGGTCAGCTGCAAACGGTTTAAGCTTTGATTTGGAGAAGTGCAAGGTGATGTATCTCCGCACACCAGAGGCGATGAAAATCAACTACACTCTTAACAAGCGTGCAATCACCAAGGTATCCACAGAGAAGGACCTTGGACTAAGCTTCTCTAGCACACTGGATACTACTGGTATCTATAAGGGGATGACAGCAAAGGTGAACACCATCATGCACTTTATAAGAAGGCAACTTGGATTGTTAACCCCAGAGTTATTCCTCATGGTATTCAAAACCTACGTTAGACCACACCTAAAGGTGTTCAACACGGTAGCCCCTCCTCTAATAAAGAGAGACACAATTCTCTCGAGAAGGTACAAAGAAGAGCAACAAAGTTGGTTGTTGGATTAACAGGCAAAACACATGCACAACGCTTCAGACAACTCAACTTGTTCACACTAAGCTATCGGAGAAAATGAGGTGATCTGATAACAGTCTACAAGATCATTCATCAAGAGGACCACCCAAATAGGACAACATTATCGGTCCGAAACCGACAATCCCGTGGCAATCCCACTTACATACCTCGCCATAGGGCAAGGACTAGAGTGAGATGTAACTTCTCCCGTAGAGTATGTGCCCTATGGAACGCGCTGCCAAAAGAAGTAGTCACAGCCACATCAATCAACTCCTTCAAAGGGCTACTGGCTGAGTATGTGAGCGCAAACGGCCCGCCATGAACATATGTTAGTAGCAACCGACGATACGCTCTTCCATCCCTGTATTCCCCAACCCCAGTATCTGCAGTGAGACGCATCTCTCCTCTATATTATTACCAGTCACATGTATCTTTTCAAAAGTACTTTCCACTTCTCTTTTTCTCACTCTTCACCCACCCGTTTCTATCACTGTTTAAAGAACACTTAACACTTACTTTCAGGTGCTTACAACAACAGGAATCGCAAACGGTTGATTGATCTTATCAGTAGCTCCGTTGCCCCCCTTAACAAACCAAGCTACCATTTGCAGATACAACACCTTCAAATAGACAAACAATGCCTCCAAAGCTATAAGCACGAAAACACAAAGACCTCTGTGACCGTCGAAGGAGTACAACTGAACAAAAAGAACCAAGCCTCAAGACCTAGAAGCGAGAGCTCAAAAACTGCAAGTTTCCTCTACTCGCACTATTGATGTTCGATGTTGGATGCTTTAATACAGGATTGTGGGAAACAAGATGCGAATATGACAGCACATCATAAGATTTTTGTAGCTAATTGTATTTGCCCGATTTTGTGGCCTTGGACCGTATTTGAGTGTCTTCATTAGCGCGTATTTGATTGCTAACGGTAGGTGGTAGGTTTTTTTGTTTATTTATTTATGTTTGTGCCTCTCCCACCCGTTAAGCATGTTCATGTGATAAAAACAGCCTTTTTTCGTATTTCCTTTTATGTTGACGTTAAATAATCAGCAGTAACTTGATAAATTATGAAATCACGTATAAAAACATAAATGAGCATTTAACAAGAGTTAACTCTTGTTGAAGCGCCTTATATCTCTTCATGGTGACAAGTGCCTACCATAAATAGTATTTGACGAGTATTTATTTGCTTAGCAGTAGTATGAGCAGCTGAAGGCAACTTAGGGAGTGGCTCAAACTCAGTATCAGCTTTCAATTAAACCATGGTTAAATTACATAATTGTATAATTAGTGCAGATTTTCACTAAGCACTTTTTAATGTCTAAGCTGAAGAAATCGGGATTGAAGAACGGTGATATATGGTTTATCCTTGAGTTGTCCTCTGTGATACCATTTTTCAGGGATAAGGATACTAAGCCAGTTGTCCTGTATTAGTCTTTACAGTTTCTCTTTGAATGCGTTGACAGAAGGTGCTAATACTACTTGCTAAAGTAAGGAGTTCCAGTCGTTGGCCACACGACAAGGAAAATGTGGATTTGCACTATGTTGTTTCGGTCGGGTTTTTTGGACATTTTGTGGCGTCCTAGGAGATAATCAATCCTAGCAGGCTAGAAAGATAGAACGTAATCAGTATGGAAGTCATTGTTACGGATACGGAATGCCGGTATGAGGTCACCCCGTTCCTTACGGGGAGACAATGGGAATAAGTGTAACCAGTCTAGTCATTCCTCATTGGGCAGATTAGAAGGGCTTGTCACAAGCTTAGTACCCACCCTTTGAACACGCTTGAGTATGTCAGCATCCTTTTATAGGCACGGACTGTCCTCCTGAATGCAGTATTCCGAATGAGGTCTAACGGAAGTGCACTACAGTATTCAGAAAATATCCTGACCAGAACTTTTGAATAGTTTGCGGACGAACCATAATACACGGAAGCCTTTTGTGGCAGAAGCATCCAGTGTGCCAAAGTTTTCAAATCATGGCTTATGATGACACCTAAGTCTTTCAGTCCAAAGACTGGGAGCAGTGGTGTACCATGAAGGGATTTCCGGACAAAATTACAATGAGCAATATGCATTATCGCACCTTTACTAGAGTTGATTTCCAGGCACTAACGTTTTGATCGACCTACCAGTCCGTCAAAATCCGCTTGAAGTGTGTATCTATCAACACTACTACATACGGCCCTCCAAACGTTTACATCACCGGTGAATACCAGCTCTGAAGAGTTGAGCATTTGCAGCAATTCGTTGACAAATAACAAGAAAAGTAGGGGACCTAGGATTTTTCCTTGAGGAATTCCACTCGTCACGGTTTCCACCTGGAGTTCCTACTAATCCTCACTCGTTGTCTTCTATAGTACAGAAGTTCCCTAGTCCAGACTTGCAATGTACCAGCAAACCCAAAAAAGAAGAACTTCCTGGGTGATTTTTCATGAGGCACTTTATCAAATGCCTTGCTGAAGTCTGTGAACACGGTGTGTATTGGTAGCTTGCAGTCAAGGGCCGTGACCCATTCCTTTCTTGCGATGGGCAGGTTAAACAGAAGTGTCCAATACGAGAACCGTTTTGCTGTGGTGCCGGAAGATTCTTTGATTCAAGACGGTTAAGTACCTTAACGTGAATTATTTCTTCAAAGACCTAAATAACCATGCTAGTTTGACTGACAGGGCGATAGTTAGCCACCAACTGACGACTACCAGCCTTAAAAACAAGACTGAAGACTGGGGAGGCGGGTCTAAAACAGGGACATATTGCAAAGATCAGTGAGTCTCAACAACAGTGTCCGCTAACCAAGACAGCAATCTGATATGCAATTCATTGGGATTAAGAATAGCGAGCAACTGGAAGACTGCTTCCCTTGTTATGAGCACTGTATCCATTGATGGTGGAGTGCTGATACCAATATTGAGCCCCTCACATCATAATCTACAGAGTACACTTAATTAGAGTAATCTTATTGGCATTCACCTCTGAACAGATTAGATTCCGCCAGACTATCAGACTTTTCATGTCACCAGAAAGGGAACTCCACATTTTCTTTTAGTCATTTTGATAAATGCAAACAGTCTTTTGAGACAGTTTTCGACAGTCGTTTACGAGCCGTTTCTCATGAAACATTCAAGACTGTGTGATCAAAGTTTTGCACTGATTACGGACTTTACAGCCCTGAGTTATAACTGTTTCCAGCCCAGTTCCTATAAACAAGTTCTATAAAAGTTTCCCTCACCTTATTAGTTTTGAGTGCCTTTATCAAGACACAGGAGGTGACGTGAAAATCTTCGTGGTGTCGACCATGGAATCAATGATATTGTCTCTTCGAATAGAGCTTCAAACCTATCTCATGCGTTCTCGATTGATGAACCCTTGTCGATGGGCCAATCCTTACTGACCGAGCAATCCCTTATGCATGAAGTGTGTGTGCGCTACACATTAGGTCTATGAGAGGCAGTGTTGTAATCAAATTCATTCTTTTGAAAAGTGAAAGTTAGCACTGCACGATCGCTTTTGGCTAACGGAGGGAAGTATGATGGATCCATAATATCTTCATATTGGTGGGTTGAACATCTAATACGATGGTATGTGTTCAAACCGTATCATGTCACAAGTTACGTTTTAGACTGAAACAGATTCTAGTACCTTGAAAATAAATCATTTTCGAAACAATTTTCCGAGGCTAAGACTGTTATCTCCATCCAGTTTATGTGGGTGTTCAGATCCCCAACTATTAAAACTGTTGCCCCCACTCCCCTTGCGTATATGAGTGGCACAAGGCCATTTGCAAGGCAGGATGGAGTGCGTAAATCACCCCCAACAGTACAGGAACCTTGCTTCGACCTCATCTCACAAGTGGTCACTTCACAGGTACCGCATTCATGTGTTTCTGGGTTAACTGATCGTATGTGGACGTCATCACAGACCCAAAACTTTATCTATCCCCACACAGCTGTATCTCTTTAGGGGTGGCGTAAAATCTAAATCCTTCACCGGTCAGGTTTCGGTGACGGCCACTACACAGCGAACCAGTTCACAGGTAATAGCCTTGAAGTCTATCATTCTTATGGTGCAAATGTTGGTGGGGATTGCGTTCACAGTGTTTGAGGCATTCGTTTCCAAAACCTCACCACCCGAAAACCCACAACTTTAAGATTTCCCCCATTAATCTGTCGAGCCTTAAGTTCAGTGAACACTTCTCTTCTTTCGTCCGGTCCTCGACAGCCCAGTCAGGTCGGATGTGGACGTGTACATTCTGTAGTTTGAATGCTTTATTCACGAGTACATCCACTTCTTTGTCGTCTAGGACAACCTTCAAAATCCTCCACTCATTGGATTTATCATTCCGTTTTTCCCCCAACCTAATTACTTTGGAGATACTTACTTCAGATTTTTCAGGTGAAATATGTCTGGTGGCTGACTAGACCGACTACAGATGGCTCATTGAAAGATCTCTGTCCACTGACTCCTAAACATTGCAGAAGGTCACACTAGACGTTGGTGGTACATCCTTGGATCTCATGTTGATGGCCTTCGAAGCTTTCTCAATGGGTTCCATAACCTTAGTAGTTTTAGCGATAACCTTAACTGTGAAGGTTTCTTCGAATTCTTTCTCGGAGAAATTGAATTGGATTTACTGATCACCTTCGTAGTATCAAAGTTGTTAACAGAGATGCAGTCTTATGGTGAGTCTTTGAGCATCATGGTTGGTGCATCAGTCACCCTCGGTTTCCTCTGACGTCGATTTCGTGTTGAAACTGGTGTAGCCTCATCGAATGATTCTCTGAGATGTGACGTTGGTCCACCTTTAGGTTTCATATTGGAGGAATTGGCAATAACACTTGCAGCATCGTCATCTGACACCTGATTGGACTGACTGTTATCATCACCATACGAGTGTTTTCTGGCCAACAACATTTCGATGGCCTCTTGAATTGGGGCTGAGAAAGGCTCGAAGCAGAAGTGACAACCAAGAGAAGCTGGTTTGCTGCTGCAACACTTGTGCACGGTTGGTGTCAATTGGGTACCAAGTTTATGGGATCCATATCCATGTGCATGCATGCATGCCTTCGTGACTGTGAATCGGCAGTTGGGTCAGCCACAAACATGATTGTGACTAACGATGTTATTCGGAATTCAGTTAAAGTTCCTACTGGAACCGTACTTCAACTGAAGTATTCAGTTAAAGTTAGAGCAAAAAAATTAAAATGCGATAGCAACGAAAGCGATCAACTACAAAATATGGTTGAAAAGCCAACCTGTTCAAAAAACAAAAATGTTTCCAAAAACTAACCTCCAGCGTCAAACTGTTAAAACTATTGAAGTCTACAATTCAAGTGTTGGTAGTCAGATACCTTGGCCAATGAGCCACGGATATGCTCTTGTGGAGTAGAATAAAGTGACGTAGGAGTCTACCTAATTTTGGATAGATTCGCAATGTATGTTCAATTCTGAAGCGTCAGCTACACAATACTTCGGCAATTTTATTTCTAGTCCCAACGTGTAGGAAACGTTTACGTGGTGATGACATTAACTTCAAATGCAAAATGCTTTTTCATCATTCTCTAAGACACTTCGTTTCTGGCAGCAGAGAGTTGCACAACTGCTTATAAAATGGCGAGAATATTGTGCCACAGCTGGTCTATCCTTGTATACGGCAACAAGACGTTCTCTGGAGAAAGGAGACAGGAGGCTGCTGTACATATTTCACAAATCGCACCTTCTCGGAAGTGTCCGTGAATGTTGTAATCCCCATGTGAGTAATGTTGAGGTTAGGCATGAGGTACCAATCGAGTCAATTGTTAGTGAAACGATAGCAGAGAAGAATGGGTCCCCGGTTCATTTGTGGAAAAGATGATCAGTATGATGGACGGAACACTACGGGAACAGTTCAGCTGGCTTTCAGCTGCTATTCTATTGTCTGCTATCCAGTCGGATTCTGAATAGAACATGTTATATTCCCGTGTTAACCTCGTCGCCAATTGGCGATAACTTTGTCTGGCCGCAATTGTCTTAGACATGCGATGCTTCTGGTTCAGTCTTGACGCTGATGTTGAACGTGATTAATCTCGTACATACTTGCTCAATTATATGCTCACTTCACCCACATGGTGAGCCACACAATTCCGCCCTCCCAACCGCGTACAACAACCCAAAGTCTGGTGCTTATTGTCCATATATATCAGACGATGTGATTCGTCTGCATCCATTACTAAATTACCTGACGACAAATGGTTTCAAGCAGAAAATGTTGAGTAATGAACATACAGTTATTTCTGAAATATAGGTCATGCAGAGGTGAGTGAGGGGTCAATCGAAATCTCTAGAACCGAGCTATATATAGATGTCTTCAAATACGTCACAACTAAGGAGGCCTTTCAAAGTGAAAAAGTCTGACCAGTGTCACTTATCTGGGATTCACACCTTCCACTTTTCGGCCGACACAACAGAACACTAAGATGGTCCCTCTAAGCCTCACCACAGTTGAAAAGGCTACAATTAGCCTAAAAGGAGGAAGGGTAGCAGAGCCACATGGATCAGTAGCGGAGATATTTATAGGTGGTGGTCGTGAATTATTGGTCAGGTTAACTAAAGTCTATCCTGGTGTATGGGAATCAGATATGATCCCACCTGACTGTTCCCAATCACCGATTGTACCAGTCTTTAAGAAGGGCGAGAAATCCCTTGTAGTAACCACAGGGGAATCAGACTGAAGGACATAGTGTCTGGGTTTTATAGTCACCATATGCAGGAGTGAAGCTCGAGCACAGCAAAACCGAGGGAACCAGGCAAGTTTCAAACCTATTTGTGGGTGTATCAAGGAGATGTTCGCCCTCTATCAGGTTCTGGATCACATGGAAACTTACCAGAGCTCGACACAAGCTGTATTTCTCCGCCTAACATCATTATTCGACCCTGTTGGCCGAAGTATATTATGGGAGTCCTTCACTGAAAAGGGTGCTGTGTGACTACGTCATCCGCCCCGTTGAAGGCTCTATACTCGAACACCCTTGGGCATGTCAGAGCCTGTGGTGAGTTGTGCACGTTAGGTGGTGTCCGTCAAGTATGACCACTCTTTTCCTTCTTATCGTGTGAATTCAGATCGACTGACGTCCTCACGAAAGCCTGCTGTTTCCCAGATTTGTAGGGCATAGATGACAGTCCTGTTAGGTGAAGATACGGGAAAAATGCAGGTTTTTCTGGACGTGTTGGGCAGAAATCTTAGTATGTTTTGCATGCCTTTCGCTGGTACCTGTCAAATGTAAGATGATGCTGCAGGAGTGGTCTGTGACTACAGGGAGGGAAACTGTGGATTTGACATACTTGGGCACTGGCATCAGCATAATTGGGCTGTTTGCTGAAGATACGGAGGTCCCGTTTAGCATTTGACAACTTGCGTCACCTTATGCTCCTACTGGCGAAATGTCCGACTATTTTTCAACGGACCAGTATACTGCTCTGCGGTTATTTCCTTTCACACGTCTGTGGGTTTCGGCTATTCAAATTAGAAGGTGCTGGGGTGTTACAGGATTTTGATCAGTGGTGCAGTTGGTAACCTACATCTGCATGTGAAAGGAATTCAGTGGATTTTCACAACCTTATCTGAACTGTTTGATACGAAAATACTCATTCCAGCGGGCTCTGGGTACAATATACAGAGAAATTGGCTAGAATTTAAGGTGATTAAGAGTCCTCACAATGACCAAAAGTAGTAGTAGGTGACAAAATGGAAAGAAATATAGTATGCACCAGCCTTAGTTTACACTTGGTGACTACTTAGGTTTAGTAGATATACTGACCATGAGATGATGATGGTTAGTGAGACTACCAAACCAAATGGGTCTTTGCTATACTATCAGGATAGTCGACTAGAATGTTGGCTGAGAGTAGTTCAGCTGGCCAACAGCCACTCTTAAGTCGCCTAGCATTCAACTCAAACCTGAATGGGATCTAGATGTCCTTCCTCCACGACTTTTTGAGGTAAGAAGGCTGTATCTTTTGTCTTATTTGGGAGATGCTGACTGTCTGGTTAGAATCGCGGAGACCACAGGAATCAGTTTCGAACGGCTCTTGGTGTAATGTGTGAATATCATCAGGAGTAGTGCAGATGTATTCACTCCCTGACGTCTTCTTTAGCTTGAATGTACACACTGACCTTTATCTTAAAATTGTTCAGTCTCTAACACAACATTTTGGTCTCAGATATTATTCTATTTCTATCCACCTGTTCCTTAAATACTATCATGAAGTGTGTGAACTTGAGGTGAAGCAACTGTATGCTGTATTCTGTATTGATTTTGTCTCTCGTTGATTGTAAACCGATTTCAAAGGCTGTTTCTTGTTTCGAATTTGATATTCTAATAACTGAGTAATATTAGTGGTATCAAAATGGACATATTTTTAATGTAGTGTTGTAGGAGGAATCAATACCAGTGCAGAAAGACCGCTACATTAGCATATGTGGGATGGAAATGCCAAGTATGGGTATGTAAGTCACTTTTTAGCTGAATTGTACCCTCTTGCAATGCTTTGGCTCATAGTCTCCTAAACCCCTGTCCCAGTATTATACCTAAAAACTTATACTACAGGTATGCTGTATACCTTCAGTTGATGCTATACCTCTGGTGCTATTGCATCCATCCCTGATGTCCTTCCTCGTTTCAGGTTGACTACAACCTTTCCAACTTCAGTAAGAGTTGGAGGGACTCTCTTAGTGTTCCATTCAGGATCCGACTGGATAGCAGACAACAAAATTGTAGCTGGAAGCCAGTTGAATTGTTTCTTGAAGTTTTCCGCAAATCATGCCAATTGCCTCTTACACGAGTGAACCAGAAACCCATTCTTCTCCATTATTGTCTCACTAACCATTGACTTGATTAGTACCCCATTCCTAACCTCAACACTGCTCAAATGGGAGATGTTGACATTTTCAAAACCATAGTATTTTTCGGAGCTTGCGAGTTATTACCATGGAGACTCTATTCTTTGTCTTTCTAAAGTATTGTTCGCTATACTATCTTACCGAACGCGAGCGATCCTACATAGATAGCTGCGTTCAAAAACCATTCACTTGTCTATTTCTTCCACCTCCGTTGACAATGTCTCACAGAGGTACAATGAGACAAAAACTACCAGGTAATAAATACATCTTTCAGCAGTTGGTCACTTCCATCCCTCACCCTGGAGAATGTGTATTTGGGAATGTTCATTAAGCATTTTGTATCCAAAGCTCAAGTTTTTTTCAGCAATTATCGTTCGAGTACCGACAGATCTTTAACAGGTGTAGTGGTCAGTGGACGCTACCAACTTATTTTCTGTTGTAAAACTAAATGTTTTCATAGACCTGGAGTATTGCACTATCTTGCATCTGACGGATGTGACACATACCATACATCTCAATTTCTCTAAGAGCGTCTTCAAAATGATGTATTTTGTCTGAATTTCATCCTGACAGGACCGCATCTTTGGTGTAGTTTAGATCAACCAGATGCTGCGGATCAGTTTCTGAGTTACAGGAAACAGAATCATCTTAACCACTACACTTATTATGAAGTTGAGTAAAAATTGTGGTGATGAACATCACTGGCGGGAACGTGAATGTTTTCATCTCAGAGGACATTCCTCCATAAAGTGTGGCAAGCCTGTTTTAGTTCAAACTTATGGTTGGCAGAGCATATCAGTGCGAAGATCTGATTAATACAACTTTTTCTCGGCCGTGAAACCTGCCTGGTATTTTCGGATTGGTTAGGCTCTAGTTAGTTATTTAATGCCCACGGACTATGAAATATTGGACACAATGTTAATCAAACTGATTCTCCTCTGGTTATCTCTTCTCTTTTATATACTATTTTGACCAGTCTCTAATCCTTTTACTTCTACTAGAGCCTCAGTTGTTCTAGCTAGCCTTTCTTCAAGGACTTTGAAAACAAATCATCAGGTTGTCTTTCTCGACCTCGGTGGCAATTGGGAAGTCGATACCTATATCTCATTCAAACTTATTGCATGTTGGGGAGGTGAATTGCAAATGCCAGCCAATTGAGCTGTGATTTACCAACGTCCCAGCCATCTGTTATCAGTTATCCGTCTTTTGTACCAGTTTCTTTAATAGGCTTAAGTAAAGGTTGGGTAATGCCTGGTACCAATGCTTTCTCTACTTCCTTCGTTTTCGTTGCCCCCCGCTCACTTTTGTGAACTAATTTGTGTTTTGTGCTGTTCATCGTGGTCAGAGATCTATCAAGATTCGCTAAACTTTAGTAGTACATTACTGACATCTTTATAACCGTTTTGACAGCAAAACGAAGATTATGCTGAACTATGTCAAGATGAGGATCGTTGGCATATGAGAACGTTTTGTTACCTCCTGTCTAAATATAGATTCGAAAGTTTGATTGTGTACTAAGGATTTATTTACTGATGATGGCCTAGTATGTGAAGAAACTAAACTTGTGGCTCATTAATCCAGTCACCCCATTTTTAACTAGTCGGTTACGGATGCGAAACTTAGCATGTTTGACGTTTGTGTGACGAAATATTACCCCCAAAATTCAACCTGTTATACAGTCGTGTTTTTTTCCTATCAAGCTGTTATTTTTAAATTAGAATGACGCTTAGATTGAGTGTTGTGTAAGCAGGTGATTTCGAGGTTTAGTTTTTGATTCTCAAATCATAACTATACTACAGATGCCCATTAATAACTGTGGTTATATCTAATAAAAACTGATGGAAAGTCTTTTGCATGTTTAGTTGCGCATTTGAAATTCAAAATGGTTAACGTAGATGTCAATGAACTTGGAATATCCAAAAATTTGTTACAAATGAATTTTATGCGACGAACTCTTGTTGCTAAAGAGAAAGCAAGTAATCAAGCTCTTTCAGATATCCTCCCGGATTCTCAAGAGTATGAATTCAAACTCCCTTGCTCTGTAGAGGAATGTATTAGTAAAAAAGCTCGTGTTCTCAAGTCAAGATATCGTTTTAAGTTTATCAGGAGTATATTTAAACTTTATAATTTATCACCTGGATTTCGGGAAAGCTTTGGTGGCTTCAATCATCCACAGTCTGTAACCAGTAATCCACTCCATTCCTTACCTTCAAATCAAAGTGATTCTGTCTGCAAACTGCAAAAGGAAGCTTCAAAATCCTCTGGAAGTAAAGTGTCGAAAACAAGTATTCGCTTCAGAAAACTTATTAGTAAGTTTTATGGATTATTTGTTTCAGAGTGTTAGATCCATTTTAGTTCACTTTATACAACGTGAAATATAATATTGCTTCATTTTTTTCTGTCATCGTCCATGTGTCATTTCCCGTTCGGTTCTTAGGAGTGAAAAGCAGTTGTACTGCGTTAATCCCCTTTGTTACACCACGACTTTCCATTTAAGATGCAGTTACTTGTGTGACCTAATCCGTCGGGCATGGATCAAAGCCGGCGGTGCTAGTCTATCTTTCTTTACCTCACACTTGAAGAGTAAGGCACTGTCATGGTGAACAAGATGTAATCTTGTGACTATTAGTGATGAAAGCATAACGACCGACCTGTGACTATCTCATCTCTGATAGCCGTGTAGATAATTGCTCATAGTGATATTACTCCAGTAACTTCTATCGTACGTACTCAATAGTGTGTTGTATAAGATACATTTACAACTCTTTCGCCAGTGATTTTGTCCAACCAGTTGGGTTACGGAGAAAACCACTACTCGAGTATAGTAAGCCAATGAATATTCCACCTGTCACCAAATACCTCTTTAGTCATCTCATAGGAGTATTCATGCAACTAGAGTTTCCACAACTTTGATATACAAGGGAATACCTAATGTGACAAAGTAAGAATGGTCACAAAAGACGATTTTTCGTTGCCTGTTTTTCTGATCAGCTTATCGAAGCAGGTTTGACGCTTCCCAAGAGTTCACGTCATTCGTCCAGCAATTATGTAGAGAGAGACTGTAACAGACACTGGCGCATGATAGGTTATTATAATTGCTTATAATTCGTACTGGACAGTCAATCGAGTAGTGATCTCTGTGGCATTTTTGTGATCTTCGCACTTACAAGTTCAAAGTAAGCTGCCACCACGAAGTGAAGAATATTGTCGGTCTGCATGAAACTCCTTGTAGACAGACTACCCTGTTTTCGAAGTCATTTAATGAGAGAGACTTTTAGCTTTCATTCTTTCCTATGTTGCTAAGGCATATGGTTAGTCGTATTTGCATTTAGTCCGTATTGATACTGTATAGGCATGATTATTTCTTGATAAGAAAGATGTTAGTAGTAAGAGGTTAAGATTATCGTAGACATTGAGGTGTTCATTTCATTTGAAAAGTATTTTTGTAGTTTATTTCAACTCCATTTCATTAAACACTACCTTTCTCCTTCATCTTTAGATCCTAAACCTTCTAATTTGAAGAATTCAAGGGATCGAAAAGGCAAAAGAAAAAGTACTCATAAAACTATTTGTTTCGATGTAAATAAATTTACAAATAAAATTGTCCAACTTTTGTTATGAAGTGGAGTTGCAAGAAAAAACGAAAATAATTAACTATTGATAGTTAAAGGTTATGACGGTTCAACCCGAGTGATTCGCAAAGAGATATCAAAAGACTGGAAATCAGATGAATTTTTAGTATCTCGGACTGAAAACGTTTATTAGTGAACATAGACCCCATTTATAGAATTTACCATAACCTTGAAAAGCAAGGAACAGTTAGTACATTTAAAGAGGCGGGAGCCAATCAGAACGCTAGTGGGTCATACAAAATATAACTCATACGTGGGAAAAGAGCGCGAATTAAAACTGTTCAAATATACCCAAATTGTAAGTAGAGAATATAAGGGATATAGGCGATCCTAGCAACTTTTGTACAGTTGAAGAGTGTTTTACTTGAATTGTGATGGTACTAAATGGGAATCAATGCTTAATTAGCTTTCATCTAATAACTTTTGGTTTTTCAATCATATATGGATTAGCCTCTTTTCTGTCTTGGTCAATTAAAACGCAGCATGCGTCGTAACTACTCAAGGCTATATAAAACCGTTGTGTTACGGGAAGTGCATCACTGATCATTAAAAAAGGATTTAAATTCTCAACCTGATGACGTATGCAACTAGCTAAAAAACTATATTTAGAACCTCATATAGATAATTCCTCTTAATGTTGTCGCTAACCAAGATATTATATCGAATATTTTTAAAATGAACGGGTTCGTTTTCTTGACTGCAATCACATTTACTTGACCAAGGAAGCAGCCAGCCCATATTAAGATCTTAAGTTTGAGTGACAACTGACACTGAAAGAATACATTATGACATCTTACTGTGATATCTTCTGGAGCTGAATGCCCGACTTTGTTGTTTAGGAAGAAGTTTCAACAATCATGGGTTCAGGTTTGGTAAATTCACGTGCGTTCAACCGGTGTCATGTCAATAGGTTTGCATTCCAACAGTTTTATAGTCTGCGGTCAACATTTAAACCACGAATCGGAAATCGTTTCGTGTATTAAGATTGGCCATCATACATTATCTGTGGTTCAAGGCTGAATGCACAAATTTGATTGGTCAGCTATGTTCCCTCAATCAATTCTTTCTGTTAACCTTGAATTGACTTATTTTCAACAAGATTTTCGCTTTTACCTACTTAACATGTGTCTTATTAGCTGTTTGACCAAGTTACTCCAATTTGTAGATCTTTTTATGCTGTTTCATTCTTTTCTGATGGTAGTATTATGATCGCTTCAACCAGATGAAAACTGTTTTGTGGAAGGTAGAATAAGCCTTCTGACATATGTTAATGCATTGTTATTTAGGCGTAGTTTATATCATTGTTTCACTAAGGATTGTATTCTGTTAAAGCACTGCTTTGACACAGGATGTGTCGTTATATCACACCCGCGAACTGTGCCAGAAGAAAACAAACTTTTGAAACCAGCTTACAAGTTGTTACGTTTTTTAAGCTATAGCGCTCATAAAGAAATGTTCGATAGACTGTCTATCAGAATGCTGATGGTAATTTGATTCAATAATAACCTGAAAAGTGATTAGCTGAACACACCAATTCTAATTTGTGACATTGTCATTTTAATAGTAATGGTACAAATGCACTAGGAGGAAAACGGAGAACTAACTACAAGTCACTGTGTTCACGTCTAATAGTTTGGAATCATCCTGAGTGCAGAGCTGTAGTAGCGAACTCAGTCAGAGTATGCAAAAAGTTACTTATTAGTCTGATCGAAATGGAGGTTAGGACAACAGTAAACAGAGTAACCAAAAAATCGGGCTTGAGTAACTCACGAAAGACGAAAATAGCTGTAGATAATAATGCGGGTTAAAACTTTCCCAAGAGACTGAGGGATATAGTATGTCTTTAAAAACGGTAACAGAAGTAAGGTCCTCCGTGAATGGCCTTATGCCTAATTCTTTAGAATATCAGACTACAAACTGTAGTTTTAGACGTCAACATAACCTGTGTATACTGCTTAGTTCTCATGATTCTGTTCTGTTGATAGTTGTGCATTGGATAATGTTACAAGTGTGATTTATCTCGGTATGTTTTTCTTTAAACCTTTCCTGGTTCTCCCATATCTTACTAATTTCCAAAAGAATTTTCCACCTAACTTTCGATATTAAGAAGTTGAGAGCATCTGGTAGAACTCAGCCTCTCATCTTGTGTTTGATAAACTCCTTCATCTTGCCTGTTCTCCTCTATTGTTCTCCTTTATTTTTTCCTGAGTTGCCGAAAAAAGACTACACTGTATTGATGCTATATGACATGCTGGAGATTCTGTAGAGTATTCCCGAAATACCTTTCAAAACAAAGCCATTACTATTGTTATTATTATTATTATTAAAGTGATGGTACACAGGAATAATATCATGCGTTTATTCGGTAACAGAAACTCTAGATTCCGATTGAACGTACGGAGTCTAGCAGAATCCCATTTTACTTGATGTGTAAAACACTGTCGGACAGTATTATTTACTGAATTACGTTTCGGACACAATTTATTGTCCATAGTCATATGACTAAAATGGAATTACATCCTACTACAGTGCCCAAGTTTTACACTTATATTCATTATTATTATAGTATTATTTTCCCTTGGGTTCCTAGTGGAACATAGGGCTTTCGTAGCCGCCTCTATTCCACTCTGTTCTCTGCAGTCATTTGGACCTCGCTCCACGACTACCCACAAGCTTTCATTTCCCCCCTCACATGATCTCCTCCATGTCACCCTCAGTTGGGACGCTCAACTCGTCGTTCCCCTTTGGATTCCACTAGATGACCAGGCTTGGTCTGGCGCGTGATGTCTCCGAATGGCTTTCTCAGTGTATGCCCAATCCATCTACACTTTCTTCTACTGCATATTTTTTTGGCGATACGTTGTTGGTTGGTTCGTTGCCAGACAGTCATAGTGGGTTCCTTGTTGCTTATTCTTATTATTCTGGCCACCTTATCTCATCATCAGTATCGAGTGAGCCAGTGTAGGCAGTTGTTGATGAATGTCTGTAGTCTGTTGGAAATGCTTTTCGTGATGCGCCAAGTCTCTCAACCATATAGCAACACTGACTTCACGTTGGTGTTGAAAATCGAGATGTTGTTCATGCTTTATGTTGAGTGCAGTAGATCTCCACACTGATTTCAGATTAATGAAAGCCTGTCTTGCTGTCTTTCCGATCGTGGTTTTGACATCCTTGTCTGTGCCGCCACGGCTGCCTGTAGTTGAGACGATGCTACCTAGGTAGGTGGGTAGGTGAGAGAGACAACTTCCTTTAGGTTTCTCCCGTTAATGGTGATTGGTGCCTGTTGTTGGTTGGGTATCTTCATCACCTCCGTCTTCTTTACATTCACTTGAAGTCTTGTTTCCTTCCGCTGCCTCACCTCTTCTGTCAACTTGTTAGTTTTCGCCTGTAGATCTTCGAGTTTGTGCGACAAGACATTAGGCATAAATCATCACTGGCGAACTGCGAATCTTTTTCTGGGGTCTTTTCGTCTGTCCAGCCAGTGTATGTCCCTCTTCTCGCTCCTCACAGTTTGTTGCATGATCTAGTCGACCATAATCAGGAAGATGATGGGTGATAGTAGGCGGTATCCTTGTCTTACTCCTGTCTTCACTTCAGAGGCGTCACTGGGCTTTCCATTGTGGATCACTTGGCATGTGGCATCTTCGTATAATTGTTGAATGAGGTTGATAAAGATTTGTGGTACTGAAACCGTATTGTTGAAGCAGTTTCCAAATTACTTCTTGTTCGATGCTGTCGAAGGCCTTTACAAAGGTGATGAAGTTGAGGTAAGGTGGAGAGTTCACTGCTATCCTATGCTGTTGTTGTGACCGAGTGGTGGGGTTGCGCGCGTGGGTATAATGATACTGAGTTTCAATACACACTTCAACTGAATACCTTTACGACTGACCTCCCTCAGTACCCTCTGCTTCACTGAGCCGCGGAAAAATCAGAAGACAAACACGGCCTGTGACTGCAAGAACAGCGACAACAACTTTTATTAGACAAATACATGACATATATGAAGTTACAACACTCTCAGATAGTGAAGTCACAAATGGACCAATCAGATTTCTAGTGTGAGGTCGAATTCCTCCAATCAGGTCCTCATGTCAGTGCATGCATAAATCATGACCTGAACATGATCTGATCACGACTTGATAACTCCTCTATTAACTGCCTTCTTGTCGCTAAGTAACAGCTATGTTCTATGATGATGCTTAGTGTTGCAATTTGATTCACATGTGATTTGTTCTTCCTGAATCTAGCCAGCCAGCCTGTTCCGGTCGTAATTTTGAATTCAGCACATCTTTTTGTCTCTCCAGGATGATACGCATATAATATTTTGCTCTGGGTGGTCAGGACCATGATCCGCACCAGTTCCTGCAAAGACTTAGGTCTCCCTTCTTTGATAGTTTGACAAGGTAGCCCTTCTTCCAATCAGTCGTCAGGAGCCTTTCCTTCCCTTCAAACATTCTGTACTAGTGGTGTGAGCATGTCCACTGTTGTCTCTGCGTCTGTTTTCGGTGCTTCTGGCGGAATTCTATTTGGTCATTCTTCTTTTACGGATTTCACAAACTTTATGGCGTTCAGGACTTCACTTCTGCTTTTGTCGGAGGGCCTGTGTCCACTGGTAGTTCTGCGGTTGCTAATGGTATTTCTGTACTAGTTGCAGGTGATGGTCGATTTGAGAGTTTTTTGAAGTGGTCAGCCCATTGTTTGCTTTGTTTCTTCTCTTTGGTAACTAAGTTTCCTTTGTCATCTTTTATTGGTTTCATCTGTGTTGGTCACTTCCCTCCCAGATAGTAACCTGGTTAATTGATATTATGCTATCAGGTCTCTCCTATCAGCAGCCTGTTCTGCTTCACTTGCCAAGGTGTCGTAGAAGTGTCTTTTGTCTTTGCGCTCACACTTCTTCACTTCTTTGTCCGGTGTAGTGTTTTGTACGTTGTACTCAGTTCCTCTTCTCGTCGTTCATCCTTGCACTGGTTTGTCTTCTGCTTCACCATC